TAGGTAAATAATCACAACAGAATGTAATTCACAATAATGGAATAGAAGTCAAGAACAACACAATTTGATAGAGAACTTGGTGGTGATGCTCAGTTCACCCGATAAAACACCTTCTTGTTTTTCAATAAACAGTCATGTTAATGTTATAACAAAAAAACATGTTCTTTAATGGCTTTGAATCTGTGTCTATTAATTATTCACAGTCCAGTAAAACTACTGGATCTCACAGTTAAATTTTTGCATAACAATTTTCAAAATAAGGAGGTAGCAAAGCATCTACTGGGCAGAAATCAAGACCCTGCTTTCACAACCTCGAAACAGTAACATTTTAGCAACATTAAATGAGTACAAACATTAAATGTGTGMAACACTTGGATTCCATTATTTACTACAAAATAGTGTTAATTAAACAATAGAGAACAATAGAATTAGCATAATTTAGCAGTATTTAGTGGTATTTATGTTGCACAGTTTTAGTGTTTGTACTCTATATATAATATATGTCAATAGGGTGGACACACTTAATCCGTGCAACTGTACAAAATCTAAGTAGTACTGATTTGTACTAAAAGTGGACCTGAAGCAAGACGGTATTGAATGCTTCATTTGTATCAATTCAATTTAATTTGSGTATCGCATGCACGATTTACTAAATGCAACTAAACATCACTATTTAGTTTGTACAGTTGCACGGATTAAGTGCGATCACTCTAAAACATATCACTAGTCAATAAAAACTAAATTCTGTGTTCATTTTTATTCTATGAACCTATCGTGTACCCTCTACTCTTCTAGCCGAGGCCACAGAGAAAGATCTTTAGCAGAATCGTTTTCGATAAAATAATATAACAGCAACAAGAAACTAGGGTCAGTCCATGATATGAAAGGGCAACTTGCCCTACAAGCAGTGACTGTCTCATTTGTCAACTGATAGATGCTTGTTTAGGGTAACGGAAAGGAGTAGCAACTACATATCATTGGTGCAAATCCAGCTCAGTTTTGACTAATTGCATTTTGCTTGGTAGTTAGCATAAACAAAATTCTYCGTAAAAATCGGCTTATGATAATCTGAATGCCATAACTTGAGCAAATATAGATGTAATTGTTATTGTTCGTAWAAGTAAGAAAAAAACCCTGATGCTTGAATATCCGAGGCTATTATTAGTATTCTGAGATTCTTATTGTATGTAAACAACTGGCGACWACTGCAAATACTAAGCAAGGCTGTTCAAAGCTCGATTTAACAACCTATGATAACCCTGGACTAACGCCGGCTGTTAAAATAGTGCTTTGAGCAACCCGGCCAAACATTTGCATAACAAATTGATGACTCTAAGTACCCCGTCACTTTCTGGCTCAATTGAAATTTGCATACCGGTTCTTTTAAGAACGAAACAGAATTCAATATATTTTAATGATATTCATAAAGTGACGTGGGTATAGACCCCTTGCATGTGACGTCAAAGCAGCTTCATCTGGAGGACGAAACAAAAGATGTTTGCCCTCTTGGGAACTAGAATCTATTCATTTGTCCTCCAGTTGGAATTGCATTCCCACGAAGTGCAAGGGGTCTATTCTAAAGTTTCAAACTAGTATTGAAAATGGCTTTATTTATGCAGTTGCTATACGCCATTCCCTCGCACCATTCCCTCGTAAGAGCAACTTAGAAATGCTAAAACTTTGACAAACGTACTAAAGTGTGCTGATACCKTTGGTTCGCTAGTTAGTTGTATCAACATAGTCCTATTGGTGAACTAATTGAGAAAATCTTCTAAAGAATGCCTTCTAGCATATTCCTGGCCAATAAAAGGCCACAAAAAGAATGGATTGAGGAAAATTTCATTATCTGTTGGACGAGGCGACTCTTCTCCCGATACAATTCCATCCAAGACAGATTTAAGGTCTTTATGTAAGTTCTCTATGTCATGGACGAGTTTCTCGAACGATRATCCTGATGGATCACTGACCTCGTGGACAACCTTGGCTTGAAGCAGAGTATCTCTGAGAGTACTGTCATCGATTTTGCAATACTCCAAGTCTGCGCGCAGTTCTCTGGGTGACGATCGTCTWCCTCTCTTTACACTCCTAACAATATCTTTCATCTTGGAGCCAAGCAAAAGATTTTTAAACTTGGTCTCGATTCTAAAATGATCAAAAACAAACAGATCAAGGCTAGCATATTATTTATTCTATATTTTTAAAAGCCAAGTATGATAGTAAGGTTTGTATCATAGATGGTGAAAAAAAAAAACAACAACGAAACATCGATACGGAACACCATATTAAGAAATGATTAATAAGGATGTTGCTAAAAACAAAACTATTAACAATTTTGATGACCATTCAGATAGTATGCTGTAAAATGTTTATGCAAGCTTTCTCCTTTAGACATTAATCTAGGGCATTATGCTGTGATAGTCGCCCGCGTAAACTGGATTTTCCGAAAAACAAACAGCCACACCCAAAAAAGGGCGCCGGACTATGACATTTTGAGGAATATCCAGTATCCAAGTCCAACTGTCAAAGCAAAATGCCTGAGATTTCAACTATTCTTTTGTTTTTATCATTCAACGACAAAATGTTCTGAAGCGACGGTCTCTATGCACTGATTGTACGCAGCGGTCACGTGGTCTCTCGATCAATGAGAGCCGAGGAAAATTTGCTGTTGAATTATAAAAGATTATAGTACTGAATACATTTTCGTTTATAGCTGAAGACCCTATCAGTGCGTGCTTTATAAYTTATCTATACTAAARCAATTTGTACTACCTGTCCAATAGCAAGCGAAGGTGTGGCACTTCCTGGACAACATTTCGTAGTATTTCCTTTTTCAATTCAGGGTTGTCATCAAACTGTACGGGGTCTTTAGCTTCTTGCAGTTTACAAGCAATCTGTCAAAATTATAAGTAATGGTTACTCAATTCTTTARGACAGCGCGTGTTCATGATGGGCGTAATTTAATACCGTTCAAWAAAATGTAAATTGGTTGGGTTAGAATACCCCGCGTCACTTTRTAATCATTAAAATCTATTGAATTCTGTCAAATTTCTATTGAGGCAAACAGTGACGGCGCTCCCCATGTTGTTTGATATTTTGTTGTCTCCTCCTAGGCCGATCCCCTCCCTCAACTTGAAGTTGTGTTCAAGATGATATTATAAAGCCCAATACCGAACGAAAGTACTCAAAAATTAAAATAAAATTACCTACAATATATCTGAAATATGGTATTTTATAGCTTAATAAAAGAACCAAATCAGCCTGAAACGCCAAAATAGGTGTTCTTATGCGCGGGTTTTTA